ATTGAAAGCAGGATTGCTGAATCAAAGGATATGCCACTTTCCATTTTGATACTCACAGCTAAACTGTGCTGCTGAAGACGTATGTTAACGTCTGGGTGTTATGGGCAAGACGTATGGGCAAGTATCATGCGACAAAGTCCCTGGGGTGCCAAGAGCCAAGCAGTGGAGGACTATACGAGGGGACTGACTTAGAGTTGGAAGGTGTTCACACCAGCTTCTCAGGACTACTTAAGACATAGTTTACTCCTGTTAATAATAGCATGGACACAGATCACTCTTCTTTTTTTAATTTATTTGAGAGAGAGAGAGAGCACACATGAGCGAGGGGGAGGGGTAGAGGGAGAAGCAAGCTCCCCACTGAGCAGAGAGCCTAATGTGGGGCTCCATCCCAGGACCCGGGATGACGACCTGAGCCAAAGGCAGCAGCTTAACGGACTGAGCCACCCTGGCACCCAGCAGAGAGCACTTTCTCAGTGGAAGCTCATAACCCTGTCAGTGGACTGGGGAGATACTATGCCTCTTCATCGAAAGGAATTGAGGTTCAGAAAAGTAGAGGAGATTTTTCTATCATGGAAAGTTAAAATTTTTTTAATAAATAAATAAGGAAATGGGATTTGCTTGGAGTTACATCAGCTGTAACAGAGACCCAAGTAACAGTGCCTTGAATTGCACAGAAATCGATTCTTTTCTCATAAAACACTGCACCGGTATGGTCTTCCACAGGGCCAGACAAATCAATTCATTTTGCTATTGTTGCTGTTGCTGTTGTTTTTAAAGATTTTATTTTTAAGTAATCTCTGCACCCAGCATGGGGCTCGAACTCAACCCTGAGATCAAGACTTGCACACACCACTGACTGAGCCAGCCAAGTTTCCCTTGTTGTTGTTGTTGTTTTTTTTTTTTTTTTTTCTGCCCTTCCTTGGGAGTAATCTTCATCCAAATGGTGGAATGGTCGAGACTTCTCACAGCCACCTCCTTGCTCCTCCAGTAGTGTGCACTCGCTCTCTCTCTCTCTCATAAATAAATAAATAAAATACATTTAATACTAAAAATTCATCTTGCATGCAACCTTTCTATGATGATATGGGATGCTGTTGTGTCTCAAATCATCAACCACCATTCTATTAGACAGCAAATAAAGACAGCCAATGGATAGACTATTAGTCAAACTGTTACATTCACTGGACTAAATTCACTTGGGGTCCAAAATTCACTGGACTTTTATTTTTAATAGAACCCTGATGGTAGTTTTTCACTTGTTATCTGCCCCCTCACAAAAGCATAAAGCAATCTGGTAACTTGAGCTTTCTGGCATTTGGATTCTAGGAAAACAAAAAGTTTTCAGCGTTTCTTTCCAAAGCTTGTCATCAATAGCTCCCTCACTGCTTTATGAGACAATGTTAGCATAATGCCAACGGCTTAAGCTTTGGCCCCTGAAAAACCTCACTTTCTGTCCCATCTCTGCTACTCCCTGTGTGACCTTAGGAATATGGTTAGACCTCATTTAGCCTCTGTCTTTTTATCTGTAAAGTTGGGAAGACTATCTTCTTCAGATTGTGGCAAAGAGTAAATGTAATAGCTCTCAGAAACTGATCTTGAAGCGAATCTGCAAATAAGCATATCTTTACAATGACATATCCATCATCTCTGTCTGGGCCATATATGTCATTTTGGAAATGATAGATCATGTAAATCATCTTAAAAGTCTAATTCAGAGAGGTGAAGCAGAGCTCCCCTGAATGTTTGTTTGTTTGTTTTTTTAAGATTTTATTTATTTGAGAGAGAGAATGAGAGAGAGAGAACATGATAGGGGGAAGGTCAGATGGAAAAGTTGACCTCCCTGCTGAATAGGGAACCTGATGCAGGACTCCAACCCGGGACTCGATCCCAGGACTCCAGGGTCATGACCTGAGCCAAAGGCAGTTGCTTAGCCAACTCAGCCTCCCACAGGACCCTCCCCTGAATGTTTAAAGCCCAACACTCTGAGTGCTAGAGCACATTGGACACAGTGCCCCCCAAAAAGCACGATTTTTTTTTTTTTTAGCTCCAGCTGGTGAATCTCTAATGCTTAGGAGAACCTTAACTCTCTTGCTTCTTTGACTTCTGCCACTTGGTTATATTTCTGGTTCCATCAGTACAAAATTGTATGATTTTCTTCTCTAAAAAGAAACTAAGTCCAGGAGAATTTCATGTTCATTTTGATGTATGCTGAATCTGGATGGAAAAAAATAGAAAACTATGGCAAGGTAGTCCTCTGATATCGTATCACCAGGAAGACACCCTTCCCCACCCCCCACCATGCATGCCTGATCCCTTCCACAAAACCCACTCAAATTATCTCCTTAGCTTGGATGTGACCCTTGACTCACTGTGGTCTTTGGGCAGGCCTGGCAATGGAGTCACCGACTCCTGGCCTGCCAATGAAGGAGTTCTGTCAGGATGCTGTAAAGGAAAATTTTCCAAAACTTGCAGTATCAGGTGAAAAGAAAGATAGCAAGTACATTAAATGTCATTATGGAGCACTGTGTTTAACAAGCAGTGATATTGTGACCTGAAATAAGAAGTATGTATTTGGTCTTCCTTTATTCCTGATACAGAGTTCCTAAAATTCTTGAAATTACCAAATTCTTGGATAAATATGTCTTTTGTTACGTTAATGAGTTGACTTTTCGACCCCACCTAAAGGATGAAGGCTAGTTGTCAGGAGACTCAATCATGTGACTAGAGGGTGGGAACTTTCAGTCCCAACCCCAACCCCCGGGGAGGGGGGAGGGGCTGGAGATTGAGTTCCATTGCCAGTGGCCCAGGATTTAATCAGTCATGCCTCTGTAACGAAGACTCCATAAAAACCCAAAAGGACAGGATTCTTTTTTTTTGTTTTTTAACGATTTTATTAATTTATTTGAGAGAGAGAGATAGAGAGAGAGAGCACAAGATTGGGGAGGGCCAGGAAGAGAAGCAGACTCCCCACCAAGCAGGGAGCTGGGAGTGGGACTAGATCCTGGGATTACAGGATCATGACCAGAGCCCATGGCAGTCGATCAACCAACTGAGCCACTCGGGACCAGGACAGGGTTCTGAAAACTTCCTGGCTGGTAAACACATGGAGATTGGAGAAAGGCATGCTGGAAGAGAACAGGCAGGGAACTTTCCCCACACCTTGCCCTGTGCATCTCTTCCAACTGTTTGCTTCTGAGTTACATTCTGTCATCTAGTCAGTAAAATGTTTCTCTGAGTTCCATGAGCTGTTCTAGCACATTAATTGAACTCAAGGAGGGGGTCTTGGGAACCTTTGATCTATAGCTGGTGGGTCAAAAGAACAGGTAACCTAGGCTTGAGACTAGTGTCTCCAGTCCAAGGAGGGTGTTGTTGGAAAAGCTGACTGCCACAGGAAGAAGCACAGGTGAGGAGGACCTGGGCTGTGATTGTGATCTGCCGGGGGGGG